TAGATGTCTAAGAAATGTAAATTCTAATTTAGTAATGAAATTATTTATTTTTATTAGAAATTGCTAAATCCATTCATTTTATTAAATTTGCTAAAACTTAATCTTACCTTGAAACAATTATAAATTTTAGCAATCTTGCTCTAGGGGACACGCTCGTATGTGAAATACGGGCCATCAAAACGTGAGTTCCACAATGAAGTGATAGCCCAAGGGATGTTTGGATCAGCAAACTAGAGCTTATCATCAATGAATTTAACCCATTTCCTGCTCTCTCTATTTTCTAGAGGGCGTATTCCTTTGAAATTCCTGCTCCTTCCTTTTTTCCCCGTCGAGGATAAAGGGCCCTCATTCTCATAATCAGGTGCAAAATTATAATTCATTAATGAATCAATCGTTTACTGTATATTCGGAGCTACGCTACTATCAGTAAACAGCTGTGGGTGATTAAAATTGTGTTGCTCTTGTGATCCTGAGGAGGAAGATCTCCTCCTTGCTAAACCTGCAAGATTTCCAGACATCTTGAAAAATGAATAACAAAGTAGTTATTAATACATTTATACAAATAATAAATAACAAATTTAGAAAAATCATACAATAATTCTATTTTAAATGAAAAATATATAACTTGATAAAACAATATATGTAAGACAAATAAATTTTAATACATATATTTAATAAGTAATAATATAGATGTTTCAATTAATCATCACTATCATCGCTATCATCGCTATCATCGCTATCATCACCATCCTCAACATTATCACTATTTCCTGAGGATCCTGAATCTTTTTCTTCTCTATAGTCCTCTTCTTCTTCAGATGTATTAGCATCAACCTCAACTTTTGTAACACCTTCTGCAGATAGTTGAAGTGATTAGTATGCAGTTAAATCTATAGCTAATGAAGAGCCTTGCATTATGAAGGGGTCATCATCTTGAAAAATATCATCAACCTCTCCTGAAGATGAGGTAGATGAGGTCTCAATTACATGTCTAGATTTGATTTTACATACTGCCAACCATCCCCGGGTAGTTCTATCCGTGGCTGCCGAATATGGAGTATAATAAACTTGTTGTGCTTGACTAGCAAAGCAAAATGGCTCCCCCGTTGAAAGTTTAAACCTTGGATTGACATCAACAATTCCGTGTTCAACATTAGCACGTATTCCTCGGTTCATGTCATATCAATCACAATTAAACAATATTATAGTCTTTTGATGGCCTGAGTGTCCATAATACAATAACTCGATCACCTCTTTTAAGACACCATAATAATCAGTTTCATCTGCAGAATTAATGGTGGTTCCTTTAACAAAAACACCACAGTTATGTCTTTCTAGTACTAGTAAACTCTTCAGTAAAAAATTTAAAGCCGTTCACAAAGAACCTATTATAAACATTCACTTCAAAGATCGGGCCAACTGCAAGGTGGATAAGTTGTTCATTGATTTCATATTGTCCACTAAACACCTATATTTGAAAAAAAAATTAATTTAGTAATACTTAATATTTAATTAAAAATTTGAGAAAATAATATATAATAATTAATTACCATATTTTTAAACCATTGAACAAAATTATTTGTTCGCAATCTTTGTAGTTGTTCATGTGAAAAATTTGCACCAACTTCTTCCTCAAATTTACTGTAAAATAACATTTATTTATTAATTAAAACGTTATGAAAATAATATAGGCTATTAAACATTGTGTAGTTCTTATTTTCCTAAGAAGTAAAACTTACGTTACCCAAACATTAACCTCCTTGCAATTTAGCAAGACATATAATTTAGCTGCATCTTTCTCCTCCAATGTTAAACATCGTGTACGTGAGTGGGCCCCTATTGGTTTACCAAGGGAACAAAATACGGATAACTTACCTGGGACGTTGGTTCCAATGCCACCATAGTTCCTTGGAGGCTGATTCTAGCTTGTCTCAACATCATCCCCAAAATAACGAGAGCAAAAGTGGGATATCTTGTATAATATAAATGCCTCAACAATTGATGCCTCGACATGATTTTTATTCCCTATGGTACTCTTAAGTTTGCGCATGCG